TATTCGTCTGTGTTCGTCTTCATTATGTTTTTCCCCAAAATCCCCTTTTATACCTGTCTTCAAAATAAGAGAAATTTGAGATTTTTAATTCCGCCGCTGCAGCTATGAATAGATATGGATCGACCTAATTACTTTGTTTACTCATGTTTGCAACTATAGATTCATAGCCATGACTGTAACTCTCTGGAATTCTTGTTTTGTTGCAGAAATTCGTGGCTGCAGCTATGGATTTGGGGCTGTAGCCCTGGACTTCAAACTCCATCAAATTCTGCATAAAAAGAGAGATAATTTAAACAAAAACACAATTACACATTTTAATTCTTTTTATTTATAATTATAATAAATAGAAATTATATTCTATTCAAAATTAAAAATACTTATACATAATTACACATTTTAAAAAATAAATTTATTTTATAATAAATTATCATATTTGTTACATCTAAACAAGTTAAAGAGTAGTTAAGTCTTTCAATAGAAACAAGACGCAATCAAAACTAAACGAAATAAAATTTAAAAATAAAATAATAATATTATGTTAATATATTTTTTATATTCTTAATTTTATTATTGTTAATATTTAATTATTTAATTATTATATTAATATATTATGTTTAATTTTTTTATTTATAATAAATAGAAATTGCTTAAATATGAATTATATTTTATTCGAAACTAAAATTTTTATAACAAAATAAAAAATAAAAAAATAAAAAATTTAATATACAATATATATATAATAGGACCATATAGTAAATTATATATAATAATATATACTTTTTGTAACTTGTTACATGTTTTACTTTTATTGGTATAAATTTTTTTATTAAGGTACCTATAAAAAAAAAATTAGGTATCAAGTTCACAACACACACCTAAATATAAATATGTAAAATTTTGGATAATTACTTTTAATAAATTTGACATAGATGTAGATAGATTTTTCTTAAAAAATATAGTTGTTAATATAAATTTGAAATTCAATAATTAATAAATATTTACGTAAACAAAAAAAAGTATAAATAAAAAATTAAATTATTAATTAATTTATCAATTTATATATAACATATAAATATATGTTTTAATATATTTTATCAATAATAATTTCTATATTATATTAATATTATAGTGTAGTTAATTTTACATATATTTTTTAATTTAATCGTTATTACTATTGTCATTATATATATATATATATATATATATATATATAGCATTGAGTTTAAATTTTTATATTAAGTTTTGTCATATATTTTTTATTAAGATAAAAGTTTAGAAATATAAGTTATTTTAATTTAAATATAAAATCTATTAATTCTTACTATACTCATATGTTATTTTTTTGCATCTATGAATTTTATAATATAAATATTTTTTATTTACAATTTTTACAATGATGATATTTTTTTACTTTTTTAAATATAATAATTTCTTTTAACTAATTCAACAAATTTTGTAAATGTTATAAATGTTTATCGTGTTTTTTAAATATAAATATTTACTGTGATTTTATTTATTAAATATAAGTTGTTTTTACATAAACAAAATATAATTATCATAAAAAATAATTAAAACCTTCAATACTTTAACAATTTTATAAAAATAAATTAATAAAAATAAAAATATAAAAATTTTAGAATATGAAAATATTTATAGTTAATGCTCAAATAATATTTTAAAAATTATTTATAAAATTATATAAAAATTGTTACAATTATTAAATAATTATCAATAACACAGATAAAATTTTGAAAATATGTAAACTAATTTGATAATAAAATAATTATATTTTCATTAATATTATTCAATAACAACAATCATTATTAATTTTTATTATTATACAAATTTTATTTTTCTTTATATTTTCTTAAGCAATTTTATTGGTCTACAAATTTATAATAAAAAATTTCATTGATTGTACTCACTACATCACAAATCTAGCACAACCATATACCTCTGAGCTAAAGCTGTTGTCACTATTCGTCTTCTTCATCGGATCTTGCTATCGTTGTCCACCTCCATTCGCTGTTCATCTTCATCTTTTTTCTTAGATCTCGTTGTTGTCTACCTCTATTTGTTGTTCATCTTCTTCCTCCATTTGTCGCTTTCATTTGTATTTTCTCCTCCATCGTTGTATCATCTTTTATTTTTTTCAAGGTACTTGAGTTTCAAGAAGAAGACGAGACCATTTTGAAGATTTGATGCTAATTCATTGGATATTGCAATTTGATTTAGTTTGGTGATGTAATGTTATTAGATTGTTGTTATTGATTGTAAAACTTTGCTATATCGTTGAACTTTTATTTTATTATTATCTATGATTACTTTGAATATAAATATAAGATAAATTATTATATTTGTTTGAACAAGCTGAAGAGTAGCAAAATCTTTAAACAAGATTAAAACACAATCAAAACTAAAAATACTAAAATTTAAAAATAAAATAATAATATTAATTTAATTTTTATATTCTTAATTCTATTATTGTTAATATTTAATTATTATATTAATTTCTTATGTTATAATCTTTTTTATTTATAATAAATAGAAAGTGCTTAAATATGAATTATATTTTATTCAAAAGTAAAAAATTATAGAAAAATGATAAGGAAATAAAATAAAAAATTCAATATATATATATATATATATAATAGGACCATGTAACAAATAATATAAATAATATAATTTTAAATAAATTATATATAACAATATATATTTTGTAACTTGTCACATGTTTCATTTTTTTTTTTTATAAATTTTTTGGGTATGGTACTCATAAAAAATTTTAGGATACCACAACACACATCTAAATATAGATACATAGAATTTTAAATAATTATTTTTAACGAATTTGACATAGATGTAAATGAATTTTTTATTAAAAAATATAGTTATTAACATACATTTGAAATTCAATAATTTGTAATTTTTTACATAAATAAAAAATATATAAATAAAAAATTAAATTATTAGTTAATTTATCAATTTATATGTAATATATAAGTATATGTTTTAATTTATTATATCAATAATATTTTTCTATATTACATTAATGTTATAGTGTAGTTAATTTTACATTTATTTATTAATTTAAAATAAAAAATTAATGAAGCAAAAACATTTAAATATTTTGTAATTATTTTATTTTTCTTACCATGGAGTTGCTCTTGTTTGCACGATGACAAACAACTATTACTTGAGAGCATACTTTCTTTCTTATTACATAGGAGAAAGTTAGGTATAGGAGAAATTATTTGTTTTTGGTTGATGTGCGAGACTTATTATATGGTACTTAATACTTGTAGATATGAACTAAGCACCTCTACTGCTTAATTAATGAAACTTTTGTGTTTATAAAAAAAAAAGGGAAATAAAACAAATCTAGCAATTTGATCCGCCTAACTTTTATGGTGTGCATTTACTTCGGAAAGATCAATATTCTTGTTATCCTTTCAATATCAGTGTGTCTAACCAACAGTTATTTTAATTTTGTTTCAAGTCTTGGTCTTAAAATTTTAGTAGCTAAATACAAGAACAATAATTTATTATTGTAATTCTTAATGAATTAGTGTTGCATAACACCAATCGAAATGTTAGTCAAAGTCCGGTTGTTGCCAAATTGCCAAGTTTGACCTTCGATACAGATGAATCCAACCGTTAGTGTTTGATGAGTTGGCGTTTCCTTATTCTATGTTTATATATAGGCAACTTTAATATTTGTTTAGTTAATAGAGACAGAAACCTATGTACAAAATTACAAATACAGTGTTATGTGGGTGTGTGTGAATGTGTGCGGTCACACGTTTTGACTGCTTAGTGAAATAACTATGATCTGAGTGATATGTGTTTGATTCCTTTTAAACAGGTTTTGAGGTCGAGTTTTTTATATGAAATATTTATATGTTTGATTTCAACTCAAATAAAATTCTCTTTTATAAAAAAATACATGCCGAATAGCCCCCCTAAAAAAGCCAAATTAGATTGTCTCTTCCTTCTGTTTTGTGATACTCAAGGAAATTACTTCCTCTTCCTACTAAACTGTAGTTCAAGTAGATTATTTCTTTAACATATATTAGCAGGAGTTGAATCTGATTCCTAGCCATCACAAACATCAATTTGGTAAAATCAATCAAGGTAAGTAATTGCTTTACAGTGCTTCGTCATTCATTCATTTTTTGCCAAAGATCATAAGGTGGAAAACAAGGACAAGAAGAATGAAATGGCAATAGATCTGATCAAGTAGAAAAATTGGTTGTTTATATAATATCCTCCTCAATTTATCTCCTTTGGGTCAACACTATTTTTAATTTTGTAGATTTAGAGTTCTGTTTATTAAAAATAAAAAATTGATCTTCCCCTTAGTTTTCTCTCTTTCTATTTGTTTCCAGTTACTGGGGTATTCAAATTTGTAGATGAAGATCCATAGTGCTCTCCAATCCATGGCATATTCTTACGCTGGGGCTTCTCCAATAAAATATGCTGTATTTCCTTCTGTCTTGCTATTTCCCAATTGAGTTGTAATTGTGAAATTGCTCGAGTATTTATAATTGTTACTACTCCATAAATCTAAACACTAATTCTTAAAAATAGGGCATATAAGGAATTACTTTGCTGAAAGAATAGACTGGTTGGTTCAGGTTAATTTGAAAACGTAATTGTTTATTTTACTAGTTTCATAAGATATAAATTTTTTAGAAAATTAGTGATTATTTCGTAAAGAAATAATCATTCTCCAAACATGCACTGAGCTTTAGAAAAAAAGACATTATGTTTTTTCCTCTTCTTGTTCCTAACATCTTATGCCTACCACACCATTCTTTTCTGTAGAAATTGCTGTATAATACTAAAAAGTAATTAGCTGATAGAAACTAGATGACGTATATGTTGGATTGGAGTTCCACTTCTAGGTCATGGTAGCACCTAAACACTTACCTTTATATCTGAAATTTGAGATTTTTTATTACTTGAAATCACTTTTAAGCATCATCTGGCATTACACAATGCCGGATACAAAATTCATTGCACACAAGGTTTGTCTTTTCTGGGTAAAGTAATCCGTTTTTATATGACTTGTAAATTACAACTACTGAATTAGCACTCTTCCTGTTTCCATTTCCCTAGAGACAATTTTGGGCTTCTGCAAATGATCATCAGTTATTGCCTGAAAGAATTGCTGCTAGAGCATCTAAACTGGAAATGCGATCCTTATGGAACTCTGGCATAAATAATGTATGTGTGAGATGTGTGATAAATTCTAGTTATTCATTTATAGTTTAGAAACTCAGCTAAGACTCTTATAATTCTAGTCTTAATCTTCAAGTTAAAACATGTCAACTGTACAATCCACTCGTGATTTTTTTTTTGTCTACCTGAAGTTTGTTATTTGGATTTTAATTTTGAATCAGAAAACTAATGTGTACAAACACTTCAACTTTGCATACTGTCTACTGACTTCCATTGTAAAAAATAGAGCATAAAAATTAGAGAAATGCTAGTAATACACTTTTCAATGCAATACTATTAATTGAAAGCTTTTAGGAATCACAAAACCAAATAGGTCTTACTCTTTATTAACGAGTTTCATGCATTATTATTTCATAAATTTTAATTCATAAATTGGTGTTAAAATATGTGTATTAAAAATTGTACTACTAGCACTCCTTTATAAGAATTGATTTTCAAAGATATCAGAACATGATCAATCTCAGTTTACACAAGTAAAGAATAACAAAAATTGGGAAGTTCGGTTGTTTTCATATTCACTTACTTGTTGTGTCTTGTTTATCGTCAAGAAAAAAATACTTTTAAATTCTCAATAATTTCTACATAGAGAAATTTTTTAAAGCAATCATTGAGAAACATTTATTTAATTTGTAATAGTTATTCTATAAGATATATTCATGGTATTTGGTAATTAACTCACAGTGTACAAATATTTATTATGACAATATTTCAAAATTAAATTCCTAGAAGAATGGTTTGTTACATGTTAGAACTTTAAATAGAACTACATAAGTTTTGTTCTTAGGAATGTTCTTGTGCTGTTGTCCATTATATGAGTGACATCTACTTAATCAATTTTCTTAATTTCTGTAATTTACTTTTCTTCTTCAATCCTTTCTAACTTTAACAATCCTTTTTTTTTCAGAGAATTTCAAAGCCACCATTGAACTTGTTCGCTACTGTAGGAATTAAAAAGAGAGAAACTGTAAATAAAATCGTGGCAAAGGTGATTGTTGAGTCACATATACGATTTTATTTGGATCTACAACTTATATTGCTGATGACTAGCACTTCCCTTTGAATGATTTTGTTGTGATGTTTTTATGCAAACTCTAATTTTATTTTTTTTAAATTATAGGGGGTAGCAGCAAAGTCAACATCTAACAATGCTCCTCAAATAAAGTATGATGTTTTCGTTAGCTTTAGGGGCAAGGAAATCTACCATGGCTTTCTTAGCCTTTTGATTGACGCTTTTTGTCAAAAGCAAATAAATGCCTTTGTAGATGATACAGTTGAGAGGGGAGAACATATATCACCGTCACTTCTTGAAGCAATTGAAGGATCATCCATTTCATTGATCATATTCTCAGAAGACTATGCTTCTTCGTCCACATGTTTGGAAGAACTTGTGAAAATAATTGAGTGCAAAGAGAAATATGGACAAACTGTGGTACCTATTTTTTACCAAGTAGACCCCAAAGACGTAGAGCATCAAAAAAAGAGTTATGAAAATGCATTTGCTGAACATGAAAAAATGTACAATATGTCCAGGGTTCAAATATGGAGACATGCTTTGAACGAATCTACTGATTTATCTGGAATTAAGTCATCAGATTTTCAGTGAGCTATTTTTTCTCCCTTTAAATGTTCTTATCTGGTTGCTTAAATAATAAAATGAGATCACTTTTATTTTCTAGATTGTTTTAAGAGTTTTGTTAACCTAAAGCTTTAAGACTTTGAGTTTAAATTTAAACACATTCATGATCTCTCTCTCTCTCTCTCTCTCTCTCTCTCACGCACTATTTTTCTTTTGTATAGGAATGACGCTGAGCTACTTGAAGAAATCGTTAATCTATTGTTGTTGAGGTTGAATAAGCACCCAATCAATTCAAAAGGACTTGTTGGAATTTGCAAACCAATTGCACACTTAGAATCATTGTTATGCCAAGAGTCAAAAGATGTTCGAATTATTGGAATTTGGGGAGTGGGCGGTATTGGCAAGACAACTATTGTTGAAGAAGTATTTAACCAACAATGTTCTAATTATGAAGGTTGTTGTTTCCTTGCAAAGGTACGGGAAGAATTGGGAAGACATGGAACAATTTCTCTTATGGAAAGACTTTTTTCTGCATTATTGGCAGAAGATGTGAAGATTAACACTCAAAATGAATTGTTAAATTATAAGAAAAGGATTGGGTGTATGAAGGTTCTTATTGTTCTTGATGATGTGAATGATACAAATCTATTAAAAATATTATTTGGAAAAGTTGATTGGTTTGGAGCAGGTAGTAGAGTAATTATAACAACTAGAGATCAGCAAGTACTTTCCACTATCAAAGTGGATGATATATATGAGGTTGGGCTATTGAGCTACAGTGAAGCACTTCAGCTTTTCAATTTTAATGCCTTTAACCAAAGTCATTTTGAAATGGAGTATTATGAGTTATTGAAGGAGGTGGTTAATTATGTGAAAGGCATTCCATTAGTTCTTAAGGTTTTGGGTAGTCTCTTTCGTGGGAAAGATAAGAAAGCATGGAAAATTTATCTAGACAAACTGGAAAACATGCCAAGTAAAAAAGTTCATGATGTATTGAGACTATGCTATGATGACCTAAATCACGAAGAGCAAGTGATATTTTTAGATCTTGCATGTTTCTTTGTTGGACTGGATTTGGATTTGGTTTCCATAATAACTTTATCAAATGATCATGACAATGATAACTCAATAGCTGTTGGGTTAGTAAGTTTGCTAGATAAAGCTCTTATTACTATTTCAGAAGATAAGGTTATATCAATGCATGATTCTGTACAAGAAATGGGTTGGGAAATTGTTCGCCAAGAATCTAGTGAAGACCCTGGAAGCTGCAGTCGATTGTGGGATCCTGATGACATTTATGAAGTTTTGAATAATAACAAGGTAAAAGTCTAAATTAAATATCAGGCTAAATATGTTCTTAGTTCTTCTAAATATAATTTTTTCTCTTTTTCGTTCAAAATATTTAGTTTTGAGGTTTGTGTCAATACATTTAACTTTATTATTATTTGGTTTGGTCCTTTTATTTTCTATTTTATTTTAGCCTTTTAACTTTAAACATCCAATAAATTGTTATTTTCTGTAATTACATTTAACTCCATTAATGACAGTAGTCTTATTATTTCCCACACATCTCATCCACTTAAAGATACCGAATTTTGGTGTTAATTTGTTTCTCTAGCATTTAGGTTTTGGATTGTATCCCTTAATTTTTTTAAAGTAAGTACTTTTGGTCCCTACCATATCCTTACTCTCCTTATCTTCATATTTTCCCTATATCTTTCCAAAATTCTTTATGCCTTTTCGTGAATGTAAATGGAACTAGGCCTTTTCAAATTTCCTGTTGAAATATCATATTGACTACTAATATATCTTAGGTTGAACTTACAAAGGTTCACGCAAGTACGAGTTAATTTTTACTTTTGTGTTTGGATGAAGAATTTTAAAATTATATAAAATTTGAAAACAATAAAGATGCTTAGAGTGAGAGTTAAGTATAACAGAAGTTATGAATGATAAATACAAAAAGTTGTGCATAATAAAGAGCTTTTTACATTCTCTAAAAAAAAGTCATTTGATTTTTTGTTTTTTACATAAAAATTATCTATTTAAAATTTTGTAATATTTTAAAATTACTTTTTCTTACTATCTAAATACATAAATTGTAATAATTTTAAAATACCTAATCCAAACACAGCAGAGTTAAGTTAGACTCAAGTCCTTCCTAGTGCAATTAACTTGGCCTCAGATTTCCCCAGGTAACAAGAGCTATGACTTAAATAGAACTCATTAAGGTTAAGATAATTCTTACTTTATGAGATAATTTTTGGAGTTGAGTGAGGCTTAAGGCTTAATAAGATTCCCCAATAACAGACATACTAATTATAAGCTGGAGCCCAATTCAAATGACAATGGTGGATCCATCGTGAACTCTAACACTATCTTTTGATTCATGAAGAGGCGGGTGAAATGTGAATATCTGTAGGAAAGATAAGGAGGGGACTAGGAGAGTATGGATAAGGATCAAAAGAAGGGACACAAACCAAAACACAAAGCTTGGAGAGACTAAAATTAAAATTATCATATTCAAATAAATTATACTGGAAAATAATTAAACTCTCAGTTAATTACATGTATATCAGTATAGCCAATTAGATTACTTTCTATGGTGAGTTAGTTAAGTTAGTAATGGCCTGTTAGTAGTCATGTTTATTATCAGAATCACCCTATATATGTCATAGCCTGATCATTCATTGTAACTAACGAATACATTTTACTCTCCAAAAGATCAAGAACATGCTCTTTCTGATTTTCCTTATAAATTACATGAGACAGATGGCAAAAGTGAGATGCCAATCCTTTTGACATGGTAGCACTTGATCAATATATGATAATAATAAATGGGACAAAAATTTTCAACCTTTGAAAAACAAAGGGCACAAACCAAAATTTAAATTTTAGAGGCATCAAAACCATAATAACCACAAATATAAGCATCTTTTATATCGATAATAACATTTGGCTTTATAGTGGAAAATGTGGCTTTTAATAAGTTTTTCATCTTCTTTCATGGCAGGGAAATGAGGCCATTAAAAGCATGAGGATAGACTTGTCAGCAGTTAGAAAGTTGAAGTTAAATCCAACTGTATTTGAGAAGATGACTAATCTCCAATTTTTAGATTTTCATGGAGAATATGATCAAGATTGGTTGGATATTTTTCCTCAAGGGCTTCAATCTTTGTCAAATAATCTACGATATCTAAATTGGACGCATTATCCTCTGAAATCCCTGCCAGAGAATTTTTCTGCCAAAAATCTTGTTATATTGGACTTATCTTATAGTAAAGTGGAAAAGCTTTGGAATGGAGTGCAGGTAAACACGTCTTCCTAAAATAAATATTCTCTTAAGAAATACAAATTAACAACTGAAGCTCATGTGTGGTCTCCATTTGTGTTATTTTGTTACAGAATCTAGAGAATTTGAAAATTGTTAAACTCTGCAATTGTGAATTCCTCAAGGAGCTGCCAGATTTTTCAAAAGCAACAAATCTTGAAGTACTGAATTGCAGTTGGTGTGTTCAATTGACTAGTGTACATCCCTCAATTTTCTCTCTCAACAAGCTTGTGTCATTGGATCTAAGCTTTTGCTTTTTCCTTACCAGACTTACAAGCAATACCCATTTAAGCTCCCTCAATTGTCTTAATCTTGATTTCTGCAAATATCTAAAGGAATTCTCAGTGACATCAGAGAACATGATGGAACTACGTTTAACAGGTACAAGCATCAATGCATTGCCCTCATCTCTTGGACTCCAAAGCAAGATGGAAACCTTAGTTGTAGGTTATAGTGACATTCAAAGCTTACCTTCATGCATTAAGGATCTTACAAGACTGCGATATCTAGATCTAAGACGTTGTTACGAGCTTCAAACTCTACCAGAGCTTCCCCCATCCATTGAAATCCTACTTGTTGAAGAATGCACATCATTGAAGACTGTATTGTTCCCTTCAACACCTACTGAACGATTTAACGAAAATAGGAAAAGGGCTGAGTTTTGGAATTGCTTTAACTTGGATGAAGCTTCTCTCATTGCTATTGGGTTAAGTGCATCTAGAAACATAAGGAAATTTGCTTGCCTGCATATATTCCCATCAAAACATGATCACGATAATTACAGTGATTATAATCAATCAATGTATGTGTATCCGGGAAGCAATGTTCCAGAGTGGTTAGAGTATAAGACAAAAAACGATTATATAGTTATTGATCTCCCTGCTGCTCAAATTCCATCTATGTTGGGCTTCATTTTCTGCTTCATCATTGGCAAGGACTCAGAATATGGTGAGATATTGATAATAGATGTCACAGTTAGTGATGGTGATGGTGAAGGTAAAAAGGAAAATTTTGAAATGCACATGACAAGGCCATGTGCCAAAATTGCATTAGATCATGTGTGTGTGATGTACAATCAACAATTTTCTGACTACCTATTGAGCAGAGCCGAATATCAGAAAAGGTTTCAAATAAAGGTTACAACAAGGATGAAATCCAGTGAATCCAGATATAGACCAGAGGTGGCAATAAAAGGGATTGGAGTAAGCAAAATAAACGGCTCCACATATTTGAATTTCATTCGAATAAGAGAATTGATTTATATTGAAAACAACTGGGATTCCCTTATGCTTAGCATCTTCTTATGTATTTCTGTCCTTCAATTGAAGATGAAAAATTTGATTTAGACAAAATTTATATATGATGTAAGTACTCTCTGTTTGATTAACATTCAAGTTATTTATTGACATGATTTAAATGATTGAAATTATCCTCTAGACTTAATTAATGTTTTAATGAACCCTATATAACCTTCTTTGCCAATGTCAAGAGACATGTCAGTTTAGAATTTACTTTTTCCTCAGTTGTAGGAGGCTACTCTTTTTTACTCAGAAATACATATTTGAATTTCCTTCGAATAAAAGCATTGATTTATATTGAAAAAACTGGGATTCCCTCATGCTTAGCATCTTCCTATCTCATTAACAAATGCAAAAAGTCCAAAATATAACAAAAGTGAAAAAGAAAATGACACCCACCAATAGATTTTCTACTAAGATGAATTTATATTCTTAGTAGCATGTAACTTTATTATTTGATTATCTAAAATTAATAAATAAATCACTAAGACTGTTATTTTCTTTAAAAGTTATGAGATTATAACAACTTTTTTTTAAAAAATATGTTATAAAAAATCATTCTCATACACAAACTAAATGTATTGATTTCAATGATAAAAATCTCAAAGTAAACATCTCATACTTAAATATTATCCAATAAAATTAATATAATTACTTCTTTCATGTAACATTCTTATCTCAAAATCCGTACAATGTATATTTCATACTTCATTACTTGATGTAAAATAGGAAATTCGAATATAATAGGCATGATTATAGCTAATTACTGAAATTTTTTTGTTTTGTAGTACTTATACAAATATTCTCATTCATATGAATATTACTGGTACAACAAAATTCTAAATGTTGTATTAAATATAATTAAGATCCATAAATTAAAAGACTGTATATACATTCTATAGATAAAATACAATAATTTACAAATTGTTTGTCAGAATATACGAAACTTAAAAAAATAATATTTACATCACCAAAATTACGATAAGTCCCAGAGCAGCCTCAACTCAAAATCCCGTACTGAAGACTGGTCCTATTCATCAATTCCGTGCCAACTTTCTATCTCAACCAGATCCTCTGAGTTTAAATCATTATCTGAACCCAGATAGTCATCACCCGAATCAACTCTGACCTCAATGTCAGTCACTTGCTGAAGGTCCATCAGGTCAGTCTTTCGAGATGGTCATGGTCATGATAAGTGAAAAGGTAAGTGAAGGCTGCTAGGGTTCTAACAGTACTTTTATACAGGTATATACACAAAGTCTGGTGTATTCTACTCCTAGGAAAGTCAAAAGAAATACTATAAGAGTAATCCATCTCTATCATAACAAAAAGCCTAGGTTTAAAATAACATACTCTTTGGTATTCATTGAATACATAATTTAACCTAAAGTCTACTGAACTATCTACAAGTCTAACTCTTTCCTGAGGCTCTGTCATCATGGTTTCCTGAAAACATTAATAAGGATGAGCATCTATTCTATTCTTTACAAACATTTATCATACGATTATACTCTATAGCATGAATACAATACATTCACATCATACATAACATTCAACAATTTATTGTCCACTTTCATCTCTCTTATTCCAACATGCACTCCCAGTGCACTGTCATCACAGATATCGATGCCTCTAGCACTTCTTAATAAAGGCATAGTCAGCAGTCTAGTCAGGAAATAAGTGTGAGGCTATGTGACGCATTTGCTCTCAGAAAGAGTGTGTACACATAGGCGAATGTCGCTCACCACCCTACGTTTCCCCAAAATTCTCATCGTCTTCGAACTCTATACCCCGGTGTATCTCTGTAACTATTCATGTGACACCCTTACTACTTATTATGCCATCAATATAAATATAATATTAAAATAATCCAAGCAGTAAGAAAGCCACATGTATGAGTTTACATTTGTTCACATTAATAGAAACTAAATACACCATCTGCATCAGTTATCCAAATACGTATATAGCAATCATCTGTCAAAATATACAGTCATTCAGTCATATAAACATATACACATAGCTGAGTTATATACAAAATAAAGTGGGGTCACGATATCAGAGATAACAACAACAAAAATGACCTCACAAGCTTTCCCCCTAGACCCATGATTATCAAAAATACCATTTCCTCCAAAAGTTAACAGTACTCTAGGAGTAAATGGAAAAGTGAGTCTCATGGGTACCCTGATGGGGATGGGGTATGCCCGTGGGCCTAGCCCATTTCTATCTAATAAAAAGGTAATAGTGCCAGTATGGGTGAACTGTTGTCGTTCCCAATCGTACACCTATCTTCTTTCAGGATCATATCTGACCGTGACGCTGAACTAGTATGGTGGTCGGGCCATTTGTGTCCTCACCTACTAAACATATTCACATACAACACACATAGCAACTAAAAGGGTGAGACAAACCCATTTCAACCAAAGTACAGTAGAAAACACGTCAAGATATTTACAATCATTATAGCAATTAGCAACAACTCAACACACAATGTACATGCCATGTATGATTCTGTGCATCACCTAGTTAATTGCTATACTGACACATGCATGTGGGCCCAAACCATTTTTTTTCTTTTTTTCTCTTTCTTTCTTTCTGGGAAGGATCAGGAGTTTACTGTCACCAATCATTCTTGGTCATAACCATCTCATTAGATAGTTTCAAAGATATAGCTCAATTGATTTTGATAATCCATCAGGTTCTGTCAGGATAGTCCAGTTTTGCAGTGAGAACCGACAGCACAGGGTTGCGAGCCCTGGCCTTTGCCTGGCTCAATCACACCCAACTATTCCCAAGACTAACCTGGAGTCTCCCCTAGATTTCGTATACTTCCCATCCAACACCATCATCATTACATGCTTATGATGCATGAACCTAATTTCAGTCTTTTAATTAGGTATTAAACATTTCTTTTTAATCAACAACATATGTTTCAAATTCCATTGACAATTTGGCAGAGTTTCCTCTATAATTCAGATATTTCTAAATTTTCTTCTCTATGCAAAACAGCCAGAAAATTCCAATACACTTCGAATTTTAAACAGAGTCTCACCACCACCACATTTCACAACTTTTCTTTCATTTCAATGGCTCTCAAATACCTTTTTCCAATTATCACCACATTTCAAAATACCCATTTAAAATAATACTTTAAAATGAATTAAAATCCTTTAAATTATTTAAATATGTATATAGGTATATTTTAAATATATAAAAACTATTAAATAAATTTTGATCAAACCACTTGAAATTAAAGAAGATTTTTTTTTTATCTTTATTTCGCAATTCTCCAATTCTTTTCAACTTTCAACAGACCTTCTATATGCTCACTCCACATGAATGATAGTTCATTCCTCAAGTATTTTAGGTAATCAATTATTTATACTGAATTCAACAAACAATTATCATAGAATTATTATCACACATAAAATCAATTTCAAAAAGGAATATCAAACAATTGTACACTAAGTATAGAAATAATTATAAATTTCTTCAAATAATTCATATATACATAGCAAAGAATAAAACACCCATTTCTCAACGTTTTTCTACTATACCCGTGAAAATAGATATGTCCCCCCTTACCTTGAAGTGTATACCGATTTTTTTCTCACCAATGACTTCTTTCCACCACTTCTCAAACCACAATCCTAACCAAATAATCACACATAATCATGATCAATGTTAAGAGGCATTAATCACCCAACCCACTACTAGTGAGTTGAAACTATCATTTTCTAATCTTCGCAAAAATGGCTTACGGGTCTTACAATTGTTTTCTATGATTTAAATGGAATACTATAAGCCTAAAGGTGATTAAAAATAATTATTTTTCCTTCATAACACTCTTGGGACAGCACCTCTAGACCAAGGGTTTTAAACCCCCAAATGTATTTTTAACAAAACAAAAAGCACCAAAATTATTTATTATAAAATATAGAAAGATTAAGCTAATTAAAACATAATTTAGAAACAAAATTTTTGGATAAAATCTCACCCTCATGCCACTGTTCCAGCACCCAAAAAGAGGGAGAAAATAAAAAATTAATCGGTTCAAAGTGTTCAAAATGATGAAAATAGATGAAATATAATAAAAATTTAATGAACTTACTTGGAAATTTAAGAGATTAAGACCAAAGATGATCAAAGCTCCTTGGAAGAAAGAAAATGGGGCTTACGGAAGTGAAAGGAAGAAATGGGAAGCTTTAGAGACTAATCCTTATCTTAAATAGTAAAAATAATAATATAATATTAGAATTTTTACTAATTCTTTAGTAATTAATTGAAATAATTAGATAAAAATCCTAAAATTTAAAAATAATCATGAAATATATTAAACATAATTATAAAATAATTTTTGACACTATTGATCCTTTAATTGATGTCTAAAATTTTTACACGCAATTTCTGCTTGAGCATATAACTAATTTACTTAAAATTAACTAGAAAATCTAAAAATGCTCATTAAATACAAAAAAAATTTATTTTTATATTCCAAATAATATTTATAAATAAAACATAAATTTTTATAATTTTTACTATTATTATTATTATTTTCAAAATAAAATATTATTTTTAACTTTATACAACAATTTTAACCAACACAAATTAACACTTTTTGAAACTTAAAAATTTTAAAATTAAAAATTACCAAAAATTTCTTAAAAATATACCTAACAATTTTGTCTAAAGCATCTCATGCTAATTCTATCTCAATTTTTTCCAAAAAATCAAGTACTATATATTAACTTAGAATTATATTAATAAATTAATCGTTTAGCAAAAACGAGGATGTTACAATTCACATTAGATTCAATCCATTATCTGACTCTTAGAGTCATTCTTAGCATCATTCTCTTTCTCACTTATAAGATTGTGCTTAGTAAAGCACTTCCAGACTAGGTCCATTCCAATCCATTTCACGCATATATTCATTGATACAATTTCAACAGTAAATCTTTCATACCAATATCATTTCAGCATATCATTTTACTCCAATATATTTCATAACATCACAACACAATCATTCAGCAATTTTCATCATATCC